TTCTGTTCCCTTCACAGATCTTGGACAGCAAAGTCTGACAGACTTTGTTTCAGCTACTTCCATGCTTCTGGCTTGCAGAGAGGTATTTGGAAAGGAACGGACAAAGCTTGAGTGCTATTTTGCTAAAATCAGTCTGAAGCCTGAAGATTAAAAATGATTTATGTCCTTTATGCCTTACTTGTATAAAAGTAACTTCAGGCTCTTTAATCTATGATTTTTTTCTCTTTCATCACTCTGATTTGTGACAGTATTTCTCTTAAATGCTATTTTATCTGCTGTACATATCTCCACTAATCTAGTTTAGCCTAAAGGAGGATGTTTCCCTAAGTAAATTATAATAATCTCACCAGAAATAAATGTAGCAGATGTGTAGCCCACTGGGTAAGGCTGTGGGTTAGTTCTCAAAAACACGAGTTCAGAGAAGGGAAGAGACCAAAGTAACTGTACGAGTTTAAGCCTCGCAGTGTGGTAACTGAGGTCATCGGCTGCATGCTCTGCTGTGGTCCTGTGGGTTGGCAACTTTGGACTTTGGCAGTTTCTGTACAGTCTTGTGTTATAATACCTTATGTTTTGTCAAAGTGTGTTTCCTTGTTTCACCTCTGGGACAAAATGTTTGATTAACAGTTCACAGAGCTGTGCTGGGCAGGTTAGAAAAGAAAGCGAAGTGGAGATAGTTCCCAGTGCTGCCAACCTGCGTTACTTCTGCCTGTGCTAATTGAATAAATTCAGACTTCCTGACTTCATCAGCTCAGCTCTGGCCACGCTGTGGTTTGAAGAGAGACACCCTTCACCAGCTTCCTCTCTCTCTTTCCAGTTTTAGATTCTGGTTGGGGGAGGGAGGGCATCTTCTTGCACAGCATCTCCCAGCTCTCTAACCTCAGGCCTACTTTATCTTTCCTGCTTGTCTTCTGTCCTTGAGAGCCTGCCCCAGATCTCCACTGGGAAAGGCTGGGCTCCCCGGGTGTTGTAAGTACCACTGCCTCTGATGGGACAAGTGATACATGAATTACTTGTGCCCACACAAGCCCACGCTCCCAAGGCTCTCTGCTTTATTTACATTACTGATGCTCCTCCAAACAAGCTTATTTTATATTTTGAATAGCAATATTAAAATCTGGGCAGTCTGAGGGGAAAAAAAAAATAACAACCTAAGAGTTAGGAAGTGAGCTGTATTTGAATTACTCACCAGCTGCGTGTGTCTCTTGATCTGCTGGCCACACAAGACACAGCCCTGGGTCACTTGTGGTGATCTACGTATAAAGTAGCTGCGCTGCTGCAGCACCGTGGGTTTGTTCTGCATGTGTGTGGACAAAAGGTTTCTGTGGTCTGACACTTCAAATGTCAGCTAGAAACCTTTGGTTACAGTCCTGTCAGCACATTGGCTGGGTCTGCCTTTCCTGTTTCTGTGCTTTTCAGTTAAAACCCGGACTCTCTAAACATGCCAAAAATAAATAGGACTTCCAAGGATTAATTAGTGGTTAAACTGCAACAGGCTTAAAATTGGTGAAAGATGTAAATATGTAGTGTCTTTTCCAGTACTTAATTGCACTGAAGGTGACAAACTGCAACCATGTAAGTTGCAAATGGAGTGAGCTGCTAATTGTTTTAGTGAAAATATACTATGTATCTGCACTGAATTTGTTACTCAGTAGAGGATCAAGGGCATCCCGTTCCTCCTTTCCTTTTGTGTAGGTGTTCAGTGAATTTTAGGCCAGCTTTACCTCAAGTTGATACAAAGTCATGCTTGCTTATGACGTAACAGATCTCTATTCTGAAAACTGAGTGGCTCCCAAATGTTCCTAAAAGCTCAGAGTACAAAACAACTTTATAAGCAGAATCTGCCGTTAGCACAGAGCTGTAACAGTTCTGGATGGTGTTTGTCCCCTGCAAAAGGGACTCTGCCTTTTAATATTTAGTAATTTGCAGGTGGTGTATCAAACACAGATGAAGGAGTGAGGACTAATGACAGTAAGTTTCTTTCACTTATGGTCTTTGGCAGGTGTATATCTTGGGGCGTTCCTGGGTTTAAGATTTTGCTGGTGTAGTCTTGGCAGCATCCTTGAGCAGTGGAAGTGTGGCTTGTGCTAGCCAAATGATTTTAATGGTGCAAGTTCCTCGACTTCAGAGGTTTTTTATCTGTGTCAATGTATGAGGTGAAGATGTGACTTTCTCTTCAGGTTCTTAAACTTAAGGTAGTGCTTGCTTTATTTTTGGTCTTCTGTTTCTCACTTCAGTTCCTTTTTTGGTAGTGCACTTTTAAGTTGTCCTTTTGCCTTGTTGATTTTTGTTGCCAAGTAAAACCAGTAATACTTTGTAGCACTGATGGAAAAGAAGTTATTCAAGCAGCACCTTTAATTAAATATTTGCGTTTGGATTATTTTTTGTCACTCTAAGTAATATTGCTATTAGAACTAAGTGAACTGTTTCAGCTTCTAGGACTGGGATTAAGTGGTCCTTGGGGAGGCCTTTGCTTTAAAGGAATCCATACTCAAAATTGATTATGTTTGAAAAGGGAGAGGGGAGGGCAGGAAAGATTTGCTTGGATTAAATGGCTTAGTCAGACTTTTTTCCCATTTTAAGGAGAAACTTTTTTGTACAGAAAAAACTTTCAGTGTGGAGAAATAAGTGTTTGCATCACAGACAAAAATGAATTGTAAGTTATAATGTGAAACATTTTTTAATGATCTTAGTTAAAAATTAAGCAGAACAGGTGGGTAGAATAGCTTTCCTAAGCTCTTCCTTTGTTGCATTTTAAGAAGCTGGATTTCTTGATGCTGATGCACAAATGAGCTATTTTGGTTGCTGTTGCAATTGATCGCATTGAAACTGTGGCACCACTCTTGTCTCTCAGTTCATGTTTGCCTCGGGTTCTTTTTGTTGTCAGTACTTATCTTTGCTAGAATCTAGCTCAGTATTTTTCCTGCTGTAATCACTAGTTCAGTCTGCTGTGGGTGAAACAATGGCAGCCGTAGGTGTTTCAGCTCCTGCGTAATCCTCAGCTGTTCAGAAAACCAGCTCAGCCTTCTTCCACATCCCAGGCAGTGCCCATGGAAGCGGTGCTATGAGAGAGCAAGCAGAAAAGCACTGACTTCACATCATTGAGGAGTGTCCTTACAAACCAGCAGGTATATTGCACAGTTACTGGGCAAATACACGTATTGCTGAGACCCTGAGAAGCAGTGAAACCATTACCCTGATGTGCTGTGCTCTTCCAAGACTTGCCCTGTTGGCAGAAGCCCCTTGTGTACATGGTTCTGTTGAGAACACTGCGATTTAGGTGGGTTGGTTTGTTTTACCTGGATGGAATTAAGAGTGGAATAAGCTGTCCTAGCAAGGCTGTGGCTTGGCTGGTGTTAAATGGGGCCACTCAAGGAATGTTTTGTAGGTACTGTTCACAACAGACAGACATGTGGGGTTTGTAGTGTAAAAGCAGGCATAAACTGGATCTAGTGTAGAGAAATCTGCAAGTGCTAGAAGAGCAAGCATGAGAAAATTGGTGTGAGGAGATGTTATGTCTTGATTTTTATGATAACTAAGTTGTGTGGTGACTAGTGGAGGGTTATGAAAGAGCTAGACTCTTGTTGCAGTGCTTATACTGTTAAGCTGTACTGTCTTGCACATCTCTGTCAGTGGAAGTAGCCAGGTTCCTCTCTAGGTTGTAGGTAGTGAACTCTTGAGAGTTTTCTGTATGATGAGAATAGCTTACCCAAGTTCTAAATGGTATTGTTAATCCTCTCTGCGTTTCTACTCCCCTCCCACTCCTCCATTAAAAAAAAAAAAAGCCCACCTACTGTTAACATCTAAGTTGAGTAGAGTGAAAAATACAGAAGAACTTCTTAAGTGTGACTTTAAATACCTGTTTTTGCAGGTGCTTAGCATTTGTATTCATCTTTAAAGTCAAATTGTTAATGTTTTATTTCCATTTATAGGTTTCTTTATTTTCAGCTGGATGATGCCTACTCGTAATGTTAGGGACAGATGTGGCTAAGAGAAAACTCATTAGAATAGTCTGTAAATCAGAATCAATTGGTTAGAGGAGGGGAGCAAAATCCATTTCTGAACTTGAGAAAAATACAAACTTGTAAATAGCGGGTGTGATGTACTTGGTGGGACTGGGACGATTTGCATGAAACATCCTCTGTTGTGTGTGCGACTGGTGTCTTCCCTGTGTGTTTCTGAATTCTTCTACCTTTGTATTAATATTTTTAGTTATGTAGTGAAGATGTGTAGATAGTACTATGCAGACTTTACACTCCTGTGTAGTCTCAGGTGTATCCTTATTGCACACTTTGAGATACAGTTTTTTAGCAGGGAGAGGGATTTTTAAGGTGATTAACTGGTGTCCTGCATTGATGCTGCTTTGTTAATGCGAAGATAAACACTGATTATAGAAGCTGATGGTGATGTTGTTGTATCAAGTGAATGCAGAGGAAAGTAAATGTAGAGGACCCACTTCCTGAGCTAAGCTGCGTGGTTCTTTATATAGTCAGAGCATCAGAATTTCTGTGTCAGTGTGTGAATTGCTGTTCCTTTAAGGGAAAAATTTGTGTGAGCGTGTGAAGTGTCTTCAGAGTGCCTGCTAAGATTTATTACACAAGGATAGGCATTTGCTTTATATAGTGCTGATGGAGTTGGGTACCTGCACACACTTGTTGACTAACTTGGACTTCAGAGTTTTGTTTTTCAAAAGCCTTTTGCGGCAAGCTAATTAACTGTGCTTGCTCTACAACATGGATATTGAGAGAGATTCAACCTCAGGCTAGAGAGTCAGAAATTACATCTAGAGAGCGTGGGCTGGGTGAGGATTACCTGTTTATCGCTTTACCTTAAGGGAAGGTAAATGAGAGAAGAGCTGGTTTACTCACCAGAAGAGCCATTGCAACTCTTGCTATTGCATCTTTTTCCTGTTGGTGCAAGGGAGAACGTCCTAGGGAACGTGGGATTGTGTTTGGAGGATGGGTGGGATTTTAGATAGGCATGTTGCCTGAGGAATGTGCCTTAGTGTTTTGCTATTACGTTACAATCCAGATAACTCTGAATTCATTTCCCTTATTCTTTCAGCTGTTTTTCAAGATCATAATGCAGCAGAAAAATGAAAAACCGTAGAAGACATTTGCTTTGGAAAAGAAGTCAGTTGCTGGCCCAGTCTAGAAGATGGACCACTGGATTTGGGGAGCTTGGGAAATACTGCTTCCGAAAGCAATTTTTCCTAGCTAAGAAGAAAAGACAGAGTGCACAGCTGATTGTGAGCTTAAATCACAACAAACTCTACAGAAGACTGCAGTGCAGAAGGAAGGCACTTGAGCTCCAAAGCAGGTGGGCTCCTGATGTGCCTCTAAATGCAGAAACCTATCAAAAACCTACTATTGAACGACACAACTTCCCTTACAAAGCTACTGAGAGCAAAAAGATCTTGTCTCTATCGCAAAGCTGAAAGCCCATCTAGAGAAGCATTAAGAAAATTCAACAATGAATCCTTTCAGATTGAAGACCCCTTGAATGAAGAATTTGAAACTGTTGCTATTCTTAATAGCATCTCTGGCAATATCCATTATGTCTCACGTGGTACGCTGTATGGTGCTGCCTTACCTGTAAAGAAAGGTGGTTTTGTGTATAGTGGGGAGGGGAGCAATAATGGTGAGGGCAGCACAGTCCTGGTAGTTTTAAACAGCTATAAAAGGAAATGCTGTTGCAAAGGGAGTGGAATGGAACTTGTGGCCCCTTGACAACTATAAAGAAGTCCAAATTTAACCATCATACTGTAAAAAAGAGATCTTTATTTATGATGCATAAGAAACTTTCTATGTTTAGGTTTTGGTGTAGAATTATAAAATCCCCGGAACTTCGAGCAAGAGGCAAAAACTGCAAATTGAGAAAAATCAAGCCAAGGTGGGTGGAGAAAGTTACAAGGGCCCATCAAGAAACGCTCCGGCAGGTTTTTGAAAGTGGATTGTGCAATTGGCTTTCCTACTGGAAATCTAAAAGTAACTGTCTTTGGAACTGGTACAGCTTATCAGATATGAACAATAATACACCCAAATCTTTGAGTGAGGAGAACGAAATTTGTGCACCTGAGATCTGCCATGCTCGGGGTGTGTTACCATGTGCTGAGCCCTGCTCTGAAGAGCCAGAATCCGGAGGGCAGGATGGCAGTGCGGATGCTGTCCTGCCAGAACTGCATGCTAGAGCTTCCCCGGAGGCAGAGACCTTGTACGAGGTGGAGACCAACGGGGCTCTGGCAGAGAATCATTGCTCTGACATTTTCTTCTCCGTGACAGCAAAAGAAATTGCTGTTTCAGGTCAAGATGATGCAGAATCGGATGAGGTTATGGGTGTAGGTGGAATGATACTGTTGCAGTCCTCCTTGCAGGATTCTGATGTCAATGACAATTTTGGAAGTGGACCTTTATCCATGGAACTGGCACAAAATGAGGATGACTCTAGCCAAATGGAAGTAGAGGGCTCCTTAAACCTGGACCTTTTTAGTGCAAAGTTACTAGATCACCCTTACTGTAAAAGTCCTCTTGAGGAGCCTTCAGCAGAAAGCACAGGACTAAAATCAGGAACTCGGAAGGGAGGCAAAAGGAACAGTCAGAAAGCTTCCCGGGTGGCTGACGAGCAGCTGGCAACGTGGCTTTGTGGTATACCTTTTACATATCTTAGGGCTTCCAGGAGTTCCTGAAAACTGCTGGATGTAGCATGGAGTTACACGTTGCGTTAATTCCTTTATTAGAATGGTTTCTTACTGTGAATTGTAAAGGGTGCTTAGCGTAACACTTAATGAAATGAGGCTGCAAAGGGGAGAGCTGCATGAAGGAAGGACGAATCAATGCTTCGCTGACGAGCTGTTCTGAGGCATAGCTGAACGGTGCCTCTGCTTCTTTCGTTTTAGAGAATGCAATGTAATTTAACTGGAATCGTTGTGAAAAATTGTTGATAGACATTTTAAATGTCTTGGATCATGTGGTTTCAGAAAATGATATGGGGTTAAAACTTCCAGTTTTTTAAATGCTTGACAATGATTACTCTTAACTTGATTTTCAAAAATCTGTAGTGTTCTAATACTTCCTTCTAGTCTTATCCTGTCTCCTCTTGCTTTGTCTTAGTCTGAAACTAAATCGCATAATGAATCTCAGATTTTAATAGCCAAATATTGTTCATTGTCACTTAGTTTTCTCTACAGTTGTTCATGAAGTAGGCTTGATGAATCTTATTAGACAATATTTTTTAAAAAGGCAAAACTGGTCTTGGCAAAGGTTAAGCAAAAAGGCTTTGGAATTTTTTTTACTGAATGCTGAGCATGCAGTATTTGATAGTCTCTCTCTAAAGAGGAACATGGTAAAAATAGCAATTGGTGTCTTATTTATGTATAGCAGCATACTGTACACATCGTAAGGAGCGGTAAGCTGACACGTTGTGCCACCTAGTACCATTGATAAAATGTTAAAGCTCAGTCATGTTCTTATTTGGAGAAATTGGCTTCATAGATTCTTATAAACCTGAAGCTGTTGTCAACTAGTGTTAAAGGGGTTGTTTAGTTTGACGTGCTCTGATTTTTATACCCACCTTTTTGTCCTTCAGTTTTGTCATTGCAAAACATGAAGAAGGAGACATTGAGCCTCAAAAGATGAGTTAGCTTTCCACATCCACAAGTTAGTGCGGGTTGTGTCTCTTTATGACTGGCTTGACAAGGACAGACGCTATGTGAGAAATTGAGAGAAACTCTGGTACCACAGACAGAGTTCTTGTCTGTTTAGGAGCATTGTTAATAATTAACAGCACCCTAAAAGATACTGCTAGCCTGGCAAGAGTCCCTGGGGTACATGCGTGAGGGAGATGTGTTAGGAATGCTCTCGGGTTTTGAATTTCTCTGCAGCAGCTGAACTCGGATGTTAATGGGCTGCGATATTTAGTGCTTTCTGATGTGCTATTGGGTATCAAACAGAGCTCCAGGGTAAATTCTGTTCATGAGGGGTGCCTGATCTTGCACCAGGTCTGAACTTTGTATTTTCCTCCTTGGGTTATTCAGTTACACCAGCCCAAGTGAGTTCAGAGTCTAGCTAGAGGTCTCTTGGAGCTCCACTGCTGTTAGTTGTAACTACAAGAACAATCCTTCCTCTGGGTCTATTAATAAAAAGCTTTTAAAAAATTTATATATGACAAGAGAATAAGGTACACTTATGAGCCCCATGCATTGTCCCTCTAGACTTCTAGATAGAGTGAGAAATATCCTCCCTGTCACAGTCTACTAAGATGTGAGGGATAAAAGTTGTTAGGCAAGTGTGTGGCAGAGTTGGGAGGAAGCTTATCTTCCTGTGAAGAATGCTTCCTTATTGTCAGTTCTCACTCTTCAATCCTCCCTTCTCTCTGTCACACATCCCGGTGTGCTTCTTGCTCTATCTCCACTGCTTTTCTCATATCTTTGAGGTTTTTTCTTGGTTTCTCTCCTTTGTTTTTTTTTATTAATTTACTGCTGTTCTGTCACTTTTTTCTGTCAGGTGTTTCTCTCGTCTTGCTTCTTCCCATCCTGATCTTTGAAAGTTTCCAGGGAACATTGTTAAAGCCTTAGTGAGCAGAGAGCTAAACATGCACTGCACTGTCCAGTGATGCTGTCTGCTGTCGCACCCAGGCCTGAGAAGAGTCCTGGAGTTTGGGTTAGTGCAGTTTCCCTGGGCTCTGATCTCAGATCCAGCTTTCTGTACACAGAACATGTGTTTTCTGCTGCATTTGAAAATTCACTTTTTGAAAGCTGGACAGCTTGGTCTTTTTTTCTCTTATTCACTAATAAGTAAGTGTTGAAATCCTGGTTTCCATTCTCTTTCATTCTTGAAGTGGTTTTGTATGCTTAACTGGGATTTATTTCTCCACTGTTCCAGTCTTGTGTCTGAGGGGAAAAAAAAAAAAAAAGTATTTCCTAGGTTTTTTAATTCCTCCAACATTCATCTTTTCATTATTTCCTAGTTAATATCTTTTGCTTCTGGTCTTTTGGTTGCCCAGTGCTTTCCCAGACAATGGCAGGCTGACATGGCTCTCTGTGTCACCTTAAATGTCATCCCTAGGATACAAGGGTAAATGAGTTACACTTGCTGAGAGTCTGTCTGGTGTCTTTTCTGTTTACTATGGTGGCAGCAGAGAAACTGAACAGACTGAAAACACTCTGCCAGCCAGGGCTGCTTACATTGGAGGCGAGTAATTCTGCATACTGTAAGGACAAGATACTGGGTTTGCAGTGAAAAGTGTTGCAGAAACTGATGGCTTTTTACATTGCAGTAAAATTATTTAAGATGCTAACTGAAATAGGCAGGGGGATGGATTCTCCTCGTAGCACTGGTATAAATAGTTTGATGTAGATATATGTGTATATGGCAAGAATGGTGTCTGATCTCTTCCTGTAAAACTGAGTGATCAGATTCTTGCTTTTTTTTATTTTTGTCCTCCTTCCCCTCTCCCTGCTTTTATTTAATGTTGCCAATTTGAGCTTCATTTTCTTAAATATATGCTTGCCATGTGTGGTGCTGTGTGTTGGTTGGGTGCAGAATGGTTGTTGCTCATACTTGGAAGAAATGAAGTCATGAACTCTGAGGGTTTTTTACATGTTTGCACTTTTATTTTTCTGGTATATTTAAAGGATTCCTAGATGAAGTTATGAAGAAATATGGCAGTTTAGTTCCACTCTGTGAAAAAGATGTCATGGGAAGATTAAAAGAAGTCTTTAATGAAGATTTCTCTCATAGGTGTGTAGCAGTATCAAATTCTAGACTTTGTGAAGGACAAATTGCTTGCATTGCTACTGCATGCTCCATGTCTAACACCTAACAGAACAGAAGTCCATTTGATATGGCCTTGACTTATTTTTTTTTTTCCCCACTTTTTCAATCCTGTTTTAGAAAACCTTTTATCACCAGGGAAATAATGAAGTATCGGGAAAAACATCCAAAAACCTCCACTTGCAATTTCCGGGTCTTCTATAATAAGCACATGCTAGATATGGATGATTTAGCTACACTGGAAGGCCAGAACTGGCTGAATGACCAGGTCAGAGATGTGTGGTGTTTATGTGCTTCCTTACCCCTTTTTAGCCCTTTTATATTAGGATATCAGTTGTCACCTTCTGCTGCATTATCGATGGACTATACTTACTTTACACTTGAGAAGTAAAAGAAGTGGTGAGCAGCTATAATAGCAGTTACAAGTCTGGAAGACAAGAGGTGTCACAACTAAACTGTTTCCTTTTGAAGAAATGAAGTTGCACTATTTTGAGAAAATAGTGCCTACCCATAGAGGTTTTAGCATCTCTTGCCATCCCCAAGCTTGAGCAGATTACAAGAACAGCAGAGAGAAGCAGCAGACTGTGGCCCACAGCCAAAAAACCAAGAAGGCTGCAGTGCCCAGGGCATGCACCAGTAGACTTAAATTGAATTAAACTGCATTTCAAATTGAGGCAGACTTCAAGCAGCCAGTTACAGTCTCTCTCTGGGCCAAGCACTATTAGTTCCAGAGCACTTGTCCTTCAGACTACAGCAAAATGTTACTATAATTGCTCACCTCCTTCTTGCTGCTTCAAGTGTGAAGAGTCCTGCGTTTTATGGGAACTTGTGCATTTGGGTTTTACAAAATTTTTCTGTACGTATTCAATATTTATTAACTTTTACAGATAATTAACATGTATGGTGAACTCATAATGGATGCAGTCCCTGAAAAGGTGAGGGGTTTTGTTATTATGCAAATGTACCTAATGAGAGATTGAGAGGGAAGGGTGAAACATTGAATATTTCAGATACAGAATTGAGATTTAGCTCAATGATGTTCTGAGTGGTTTCATTGTAGTTTTTTGCTATCTGCTGCTCAAATTTCCTTCCTTCCTTGTGCTAAAATACAGTTTTCAGTGCTGTTGCTCTTGTTTCAGGATCTTATTGGATTAGCTCTGCAGGTGTTTTTTCTGGTAGCCTGATGTTACTGATGTACCTGTAGAAGACAGTTGCCCTGTTTTCACCCATCCCACTCTCCTTTCTCCATTAGAGGTTTCTGTCTCCAGCTTATCTGCTTCTTTATCTGTGCCCTTGCTCTCCAGTCTGGTGTTTCAGCTGAAATTTCTGATGAAGACGGATTTCTGCTGAGATGACAAACCATGAATGGTAGCATCTGAACCATGCACATGTGCTGCTTGTGCTCACCCGCCCACCGCGCAGCTGTGGGGGCCGTAACAGCTCACACTGTGTCAGCTGCCTGCCTGGTGAATGTGAATTGATGCAGAGCTGCTTGGTTCCTCAGCACTGTTGACTCTGCAGGACTCTTTGGTTTGTGCATCCTCAACAGAATGCTTAGTGCTTTCCAACTGCAGTGTCTAACTGTTGGTGGCAGTTGGAAAAAAGAAAGGGGAAAAAAAAATCAGGAAAACAACCCCCCCCCCTTCTGTGACTAAATTTGCAGCAGTGGCAATTATAAAAAGCCATCTGTTTATTAGTAGAGCTGAACAATTTTCAGGTGAGACCACAAAGGAAAAACCAAACAAAGCCATTTTTAGATGAGCTCTGCAGAATGTAACTCTTAAAAATCTTCAAACTCAGAAGAAAGCGCGTTGTTGCTTTGATTGGTGGTGATGGTGATTCTTCATTAGTATTCTCTGTACTTCCTGAGTGTGTGCTGGGGTTGTGGTATTGGAGATTGTATCTGTTTGCTTGTGTCTGCTTTTTCTTCATAGTGCATAATTGAAATCCTCATGGGAGATTTTGTGCTGGTACCTCAGAATGTGGTTTGAAGTCTGTTGGCATAGCTAATGGGTGTTAGACTGTGTTTTCAGATGCTGAATTCTCTAACTTTTTTTTCCAAGTAATAACTCAAGCCTTCTACCACCTCTACACTAGCAGAATTATTAAAAACAGATGTTGCAGATTTCCATTTGTATTAATCTGTTCCTGTAATTGCAAGAAGCTAAGCACAGGGAATAATAGTGTTAACCTGGAGCTAAATAATTTTTTTTAACATAAGCCTGCATTTTTTGCCATAAATGTAGGTTTTTAGTTACAAAATAGATGTGGTATAAATTAAAAATGTTTTTAAATAGCAGAATATTGTTTTTGTCTGGAGCTGGTCATAGTAGCTGAATACAAATGACCGTGTTGTTGGATTAAATCTCATAACTGTTTTGATTTTTTTTTTTTTTTTTTGAGTCTCAGAGCTTCCAGCAACTAAAGCCAAAAGTTACTCCCTTCTCTACCACCCCCACTTTGCCAGTCCAATGTTCTCTTCCTTAATGACAAAAACTGTAACTCCTTATCCTGGTGTTTTTCTCCCAAGTCCATCCCCAACAAAAAATTAAATGTGATGTGCCTGGAGATACAAAAGTGTAAATATAAATGCTGCAGTGGCTCACATCATATGTTATAGGGAAATAAGGCTTGCTTTATTTGCTTGCTGAAAACCAGCATTAGTTTAGGCTTGGCAAAGCCTCTGTTTGTCCCTACTGGGGTTCTATTCTAAACCTGCATTAAATATTGCCTCATTACAAGTTGTTTTGTATAAATTATCCTGGGGGAAGGGGAATGACTGTGCATGAAGATTTCTGTGCTCATTCCTCCTCTCTCTCTTTTTTTAGGTTCATTTCTTTAACAGCTTTTTTCATAGACAGCTCGTAACCAAAGGATATAACGGGGTAAAACGATGGACTAAAAAGGTATCCTTCAACTCCGTGTCATCAGTGCTCTGGTTCTTTTGGGCTGGGTTGAATCACTAACTTAAAACTGGGTTACAACGTGTTATCTGCTATCTACAAAATGATGTGTTTGCAAAGGAGCTATGCAAAGTGAGGAGAGGTTAATAAAAATAACAGGATGGAACTACTCAAGTTAGTATGCTTATGTTGTGAAAATGTACTTTGAATGGCTTCATCTTCAGTGGTAGGTTATCTCTTTGTGTATGTTCAAGCAAGCTTTTAATTTAGCTGGAAGAAATGTCTCTTACTGCTCCTGACAGTGCCAGGTACGCTAATCTACAGGAGAGCAGACTTAATTCTGCTTCTTCCTTTTATCTCCAACTGGGATTGTTTGATAAAATGAGATTGTTACTCCTGGGTAACACATACACATACTAGAAAGCAGAAATTGGAAACCCATGGTGAATAAGCCAAACTGTTGTTAGCACGACAAGAACAGAATTCACTTTTCCAGAACCCATACCGGATCATGGGCTTTGATGTTTTCTGAGGTAGCCAATGCAAAGGGCAGTGCTCTCTCTTCTCTGGGAACATTTGTCCTTTCTAATATGGGAGATGAGGCAAGACTAATCAAGGACCATGTTTGAATGTATGATCTTTCTGCAGAAGCACTTAAATAGCACACGTCTGTGAAATGCTAGAGACGAACTCATTATCCAAATATAAAATCTATTCATATAATTTATTAAAATCTCTTTAAAGAAAGACTGAATATTGGTGCATAATATTCCCAGTTTTTTTTAATGTTCTTTTTCTCCAGCAACTCAAGTTTTGCAAAAACCCCAAAATTGAAGGTGGTTTCTGAAAGCAAAACCTGCATTCCTGTTGCTGTTGAGAAGGGACCAGATGAGAGCAGGACAGTTGTTGAGACATTTACACTTAAATTCCTGAAGAATCTCTAAAGCAAGAATGAGAACTAGGCAATTTCTGTTGGAAGGATTTGGTAGACTGCTTCGTCCTGCAATGTGCAATTAAGGGGAGCTTGTTTCTGCTTTTTAAACACACCCAACTATTGTACTAGGTTTCATGAATGTGCTCTCCTGGGATACAGGAGGCCAGAGCCTAGAAGGACATACTCTTCTGCATCAGCTGCAGTGGTTTCAAAGCTCCTGTTCATGTCTGTCCTTTCTGGCCACCAATCCGACTGGCCTTCCTGCTTTGATCCACTGTCATGTCAGCTAGCTGACTCTGCACTGTCTCAGCCAAGCGAATCTAGGTTGCCACCATTCTTTCTGTACGTCAGGTCTTAACTAAAGACCCATCCAGATTTTGGCTGCCTCTTTCCACTCTTCTGCTACAGGTTTGCACGCCTGGCCTGCAGCAATCCCACAATTGGGGTCGCATGAGGACTCTTGGGTTTAGCATGGCTCTGCTGTTGCTGGACGTCACAGAAGGTGGAATTCATTGCTCTTAGTCCACTTTTCCTTTGTGGGCTGGGCTTGCTGCTGGCTGACATCTCTGCTTCTTTCCAAGAACGGTGGATCCTTGTGTAGCGAGTGTGCTGTCATCTGGTCAGGAAGCAGTTTCTGCAAGTGGGAGCAGGGACCATCGATGCTTGTGACAAAAGTACTGTTGGGAGCAAGGCTCAGCTGATAACTGCTGTGGATGCTCTGACCTTTTTGTGCCTTCAGCTTCCCACTGCTACTCAAAAAATACACTTTTCTTTCCTACAAATGACCTGCCTTCACCAGTAGTGCAGCAATTATGTACTGTTCAAATTGCACAGCGCTTAAAAAAAAAAAAAGCAACATAGAAGTCTTCCCACAGAATGAGTTCATTTAGTTCAGTATTCTATTTTTACTTATTTTCTGGACTGTACCACCAAAAACCCAGCAATTAGACAACCGTTTCAAGAGTTGCTGGGAGAAGGAAGATCATGAAAGGCCCTGGCTTGACTAGCTTCCAAAAGCATAAGGGCTCATCTGCCACACAGACACCGGGGGTGTTGTATCTGATCTACTTGTTCTGTACTCAAAGACCTTCTCCCTTGTTTGCTTGCCTGTGACCACAGTACATCTGCTACAAAGTTAAGTTCAAGAAAGGATGAATCTGCTCTGTCTTCACTCCCTCCCTTCTTCTGCTCACCAAAGCATCGTGCAGTCTTTCTCTGCCTTCCCCTGACAAAGTTGCAGAGCCTGTATTAAGGCAGAGAGAGTCAAACTGCACCAGCTTGCTGGTTTTGTGGGGTGTCTGTAATCACAACTGCTTCATCTGTCACCTATCCACGATGCAGCTCTGATAGAAATCAGTGGTGTTCATAGGGGAGGAGTGTCATTACTGAAAATATGTAGCTAACCCAAATTGAAGCTTGACTGCATTACCATCATTACTTAAGAAATCCCACTTTGATGCAGATGTTAAAGTGTAACGTGAACCACTTTTGCCACAAGTACAGTGGTGACTAACTGGTACTGTACAGTGCTCCTTAGCCACTTTCTGGGCTGTAACTGTATTTTTGTGCATGCTAATAAGTTGTGTATGAGATACACATGAGGAATGTGTTGGAAGAGGGGAGGATGAAAAAGAAGACTTCAATTAGGGGGTGGTGGAGAGGAGACTTAGGTACAATTAATCTCTTGCTTTGCAGTGTTGTGCCTGTGGAATTCTCTCTAATGTCTGTTGTTCTTCTTGCCAGGTGGACTTGTTCAAAAAGACTCTATTGTTAATTCCCATTCACCTGGAAGTCCACTGGTCCCTCATTACTGTGAACATCCCCAATCGAATTATTTCATTTTATGATTCCCAAGGCATTCATTTTAAGTTTTGTGTAGAGGTAAGAGTGACAGCTGTGTCTGCAAAGTTTGAACTGTTTTCTTAAACAAACCACCCCTCTGTTTTCTGTTCAGCCTTAAACTTTAAATGCATTGTGTCTCTTGTTGTCCTGCCATGTATGAAATGAGAATCAGCTTGTCCTGCTGAGGAGTCTGAAGCACAGACCTCAAGGGTCACACCAGAGCTGGGAGTTGGGGTCAGATTGCCTGTTGTCTAATTAGTCTGACCGTGTAATTGGCATACCTTTTGTGGCTGTATCTTGTCACTCCCACAAAAAGCAGGGGCTCGAAGCCAAGTGCCCTAGGGAAGCAGGCTAGCCAGAAGGAGAGTAAAGGCAGTTCTTTCAACTGCTAAGGGACGTGTGTTTAGGAAATGATAAATTGTGGTCCTTTCTGGGGGAGGTTGCCTGGGTGAGAGAACAAGACTGAAGATGCTGTAGTGTTGCCCAGTGGGGTTTGCATGTTACTGTGCTATTAACAGCGCGATGCCTTTTTACTCTGTCTGCATTGGTACGAGGTGTGTGCCTCTGATTATAACCCAGCAACCTTTCAGTGCTGCAACCTGAACACTGGAGTTAAATTATCAGTCTTCCTGGTAAAGAACAGCCAGGAAATTTTTTGCTGGGAGTAGCAAATTGTAATAACCCTCTTACAAAAGCTAATTTTGTCAACTTAATTGCTTGCTTGATGCAGCAGCCCTCTACTTTTAACTGTGTGTAGTTGTTGGCTTACAAAAGAGTAGTAATTATTGTACCCAGGAGAGTTCCCAACTAGGACTTCTGAATGAAGATACTAGTTTCCTACTGGCATTTGCTAAGGATGAAGCTAATGTTTGTTCTGGGAGTGAGAGATCTTATGCTCTCCAGCTTCTGAACTTGCAGCGTAAACCAGGGGTCCCTCTCAGTAGCCTTACAGTCTCTCCTGCAGTCTTGCAATGTGGCCTCTCCCATTTGGCAAGGTATTTGCACTTAAATGTCTCACAAACATGAGACACTTTTATTCCCACCCTTTCTAGGAGAAGGAGGGGCCAATACCCAAAACTCCACTGTGATCCATCCACTGAGGTGAATGTTAGTGTGCTGAAATGTGTTTAAATTTGCTATAAACCACCAGCCTGTTTACAGAGAAGTAGAAGGATTTGCTTAACCTAAGACCATAGGCTCATTTATCTTGCTTCCTTCCCTTCCCTTGTGTCAGACTATTTTTTCCTGTATGTCACTAAAACTCTCCCTGGAGCTTTGTTGATTAGCTGCAGAACTTAAAGCTTTTTGGATTGAGATTCAGGCAGGAAAATGCTCTCGTATTGAATGTAAGGGCCGTGGTGTCAGCCAAGCAAGCCAGGAGAGAGCACATGCCAGACTGCACTGTGTGTCTGCATGTCTGACAGCACTCTGACTCGGTGTCTGAGTGCCACAGCTAATCTAGTATTAAGAATACTGGTGTTCAGTGGGGCTGAGGGGTATTACAGCTCCCCTTGATAAACCAAAATGAGCCTTGATGGTAGAAGGCACAGTACCCACCAGAGTTCATGTCTTTACCTCTAGATCTGACCTCAGCTCCTAGTGCTTAATGCTGACCTGAAATTTGTCCTCATTGGCAAAAGGATACCAGTAAAGACGTCAATGTCTCTCTCCTGTTCTTTAGCTAGTAAATAATATTGTTGCTTTTTTTCCCCTTTCCTTTTTAAAGAATATTCGAAAGTATTTGCTGACTGAAGCAAAAGAGAAGAATTGTCCCGAGTTTCTTCAGGGTTGGCAGACTGCTGTAACAAAGGTAAATGGCAGCGCTTCAAGCTCTGGAGTCTGACTTTCTGGGAGATTTTAGGAGGCTGCTTCTAAACCCATATATTTGTACAAGTAGTAAATTGGTTTATGCTGACCACATGAAGGGTGGTAGAAGCGACACAGGTGGTTACACATGGGAATTAGAGCTCTGTCACTCATTCAGCTCCCAGCAGGTCTTTAATACTTTCTGCAAGTGACTTGGTGATCTGAGCCTAATCTCTGGACAATTAAATATCCGTGCAGCAAAATCTGTACTGGTGCCTGTGTTAGCACAAGGTCAAGGACTGAAAGAGCTGGAGACTGAGCTTCCTCACTTCTCCTGAAAGGACTGTTCTGAACTATGCCAAAAGGATGGAATTTGGTGAGGGAGGGAAAAGGCTAATGCTGCTACTGCCTATATTTTATATATGCTACAGATGGAGGGCTTTGGTCTCCAGGGCTGCTTGTGGCACATCATTACGTTTGATCACAAGTAAACAAAGTCTGGCAACAATAAAAGGGAATAACTTGTGTGTGCTGTAAAGGAGGGAATATGAATTGCATAGCCATCCCATAATGGCTCCAAAGATATAAAACGGGTCATTGCACACTAGACACACTCCCAACAGTTCCTTCCTTGCACAGGATTATTTTTAGATGCTGATACAATGATGAAATTATTCCTCTCTGCACTCATGCACATACTGTGCAGTCAGAATTTGTCCTTCTGCATTCTGTGTGGTAGAAGATCTGGGAGTTGAGGAAAAATAATTACCTTTCCTCCTCAAGAGCCAGAGGCATAGCAACACTAGTGAGTGGAACTTTTTATCTCCACGTATCAAAGTTGAGCGTGTTTGAAGAAATAGCAAAGTTTGAAACATCTCATTTGAGACTGCCTCGCTCAGCCCTGTTGCCTGACAATGTACCACCCACCCTTCATGCTCTTTGAGACCCACTAGTGTGGTTGGGGGAGGAAACACCCTGCCGGTAGCATGGGTGCTGAGAGTAATCTTCCTCTAGGCCTGTGTGACTTTGCTGATATAGTTTGGTCCTGTGTAAAGCAGATAATGCTGTACAAACATTTATTTAAACTAATTGAGAAGCTGTTCTGTGTAGGTCACTAAAAGAAAATAAACTTGAAAGAAAGATTTGTAATTTGTTTTCTGTCCTACACTATATATTTTTCTAAATGTTAGGTGTTATTTTAACAAGGTGTTGAGTGTCACCTTGCAAAAGTTGGGATCAGAATAAGTCATTACAACTGCAGTTTCTAGTGCTGCAGAGCAACTAGCTCTGAGAACAAGATACCTGATGGTTTTACTGAATTTCCTTTTGGACTTTAAGGAGGACTTAGAGAATAAAAGGATAAATAAAGATCTAATAAGTCTCTTCTTGTTTCTTTTCCTTTTAGTGCATTCCACAACAGAAAAATGACAGTGACTGTGGGGTTTTTGTGCTCCAGGTAAGAATACTGCTTTTTAAAAATCAGTGGCCAGTATTGTTTTTACAGTAAATGTCCTTTTTTTTTCAATCAAGCCTTTTCCTTTTCCTCAGTACTGCAAGTGCCTCGCCTTAGACCAGCCTTTTCAGTTCTCCCAGGAAGATATGCCCCGAGTGAGAAAAAGGATTTACAAGGAGCTGTGTGAACGCCAGCTAATAGACTAATAAAATGCAGCCAACCTAATTTCTCTGGCATTTCTGACAAGTTGCAGCTGGTGTTTGCATACTTGAATTTCTGAAAACTTCCGTGAATTTTGAGCGATACTCAGCTGAGTGGTGTGGCCACTGTTGTTACCTCAATTTTTTGACAAGCTCTTTAACTGGCAGAACATAACAAGAGCTGCCGTAAAATATTCCTTATGTCAGTTTGGTTCTCTTATGTTCTTTCCTGTATTTAATATTTATTATCTCAGCATGCATATAGGCAAAGCATGCAACTAAAACCATGAAACTGTAGATTTGGTGCACCTTTGAGATGTAGCTAGAAGTGACAAATACAGGTGATTTTGTCTGGAAACATAAAGATGCATGATATGTTTTCTGATGCAATAATGCTTTGAATGTACTAAAAAAAAATCAATGCCATAAAAAGAACAGCTAGAACCTGTTTGATAGTTCCATTGTCCCTGTTGTGGCTGTATAATCCTGAATTACCACTTTTTAGGGTGACTGAACTCATCTACAGGTTTAATTTGTGGAGACCCCTTTTTTAAATAGTTCAAGTTGCTAATAAAGATTGTTCTGTTAACACTTATCCAGCTGTCATTATCAGCCTGTCCCTGTAGATAAAAAGCAGCTTTTGCACAAATAAAGCTTCAGCACTTGTCTGTATAATAAAAAGTACAAAGGTGTTCGGTCAGTCAGATTGATGGTATGTTCCTATATGCTGCAGAAGTCTCCATGATGTGTCTGTTCAGAAGAATTACAAAGCTGGCCCTGAAGAGTCACAGCTTAGATACTAAGATAAACTCCTTGGCTGTAACTGTTTAAGTCTCGGATGGCTTTGGGTCATTTTTCAGTTCCAAGATACGCAGTGAAATGTACCATTTCAGCATCTCTCCTTTCAGCTCTGTCTTCAAATGAATTCCTGTCAAGCTTGTCGTGTTTAACCTCCCATCGGCTTTTGCCTTTGTTCAAATATAAATTAATTCATTTCTGTTGCATCTGCTGTCTGATTGTCTCAAACATCCCTAGTTTTGTTTGCGTTCAGTAGCACCCATGGGGCTGACTGGGACTAATGGCACTTGTGGTGGGTGCTGTACAAACACAACAAGATTATGTCATTCTGCTCCGGGGGGTGGGAGGCTGTGTGGCCAGCAATGAACTTTGCCGCGTTGTTGTACTGGGCAGGGATAAGTGAGAGCAGTGGATCTTGAGACTTTTGGGTTTTTTGCCTTGATCTGTAAACTGTGATGTGCTGTGTGCTGAAGAGAGCTAGTTTTGTTTGAAGAAACCATTGTTTGGGGCTGCCACACCAGCAAATGTCTTTGCTGTGTTTTTCTGCCAGATAAAGGAGTGAGACCAGAGGAAAACTATTTTCAGTGCTAAACGTCATCTGTTGTACAGCTTCACTTTGTATCTGTCTGTAGACCTGACTTCTGATGGAGGAAAACCTCTTTGAGTTCCTGTCTTGCAAATTAATTCAGGCTTGAGCTAAACCAGGTGCAAATCCCTCCTAGATTACAGGAGGGAGCAGGGAGAAGCGAGGGAGGACCAAGTGCAGTCAGGCCAGGAGGTGGAAGCTTGTGGATGCTTTGTTGTGCTAGAGAAGGAGGTTCTGCAGTATCCTCATGTGTTCCCACTTTCACTTGTTGGCAGCTGGCAAGGACTGGCTTAATTTAGCAAGATAAGAAAGACCTTAAATACTTGGTTACATAATTTAAACAAGGAAATTATTGAGTCAGAAAGAACCTTAAGATCCAGACTGGCTAAACATACATTTACCCATTGTATGGTGCAGAGCAACCCACAGCACATGGTTTCTTTGTGTTTCCCTGAAGTGTTATTGATGCAAACATCAGCATCCTCTTGGGGCAAGTGACTGTGAGGAATGGAGGGTGATTTCCAAGAAAACTGAAACTTGGGATGTAGTTTCTCCAGTGCCAGGGTAGAACCTGTAAGCTAGTGCTGCAATTCTCATCTTCTCCCCCCACTGCTATCACGTGAATGGCACAAGTGCTTATGGGGCCATGTGGACTGATGCAGGTTAAAACTAACCCAGCCAGAGGACTGTTCTTAACCCAGAGGACAGAGTTCTCACCTCAGTGTAACTTGTCACCGAGTGCACATACTAGCATGAATGAAGAGGGAGAATTGAGTGGCCAGGAGGAGACATGAAAGCAGTGCCAGCTTCAGGTGCATGCAAGCGAAGCTGTATTTTCAAGCAAATTCCCTGCAGAAAGGGAGTGAAATACAGAAAGTGAACTGCATAAGCAAGTTGCCTTTATTTTCAGAACTTAAGATGTTTGGTAAGGAAGCTTGACAGATGTGCTACGACAGTGTACCAGCCTGGGAGACTCAGTGCCTCCAAGGACAACCCTTATTTTTTGTGGAAGTTGCCTCATTGATGGATATTTTTCATTGCATGGGAATGTGTTGGAGCACTGGACCACAGGTAGTCCATTTCTGAAATTTGGTGTGTACTACTGGTTGGTAGGAACCCATCCTCCTCTGTATGAGAAGCTGGGAGGAGTCTTTAATTAATGCCCTTTATCAGTGGCATCAGTAAAAGGATGATATTTCTGTGAACTTTGTGTTCAGGAATGTGGATGCTGTGAAAGAAGTTGCATATGTGTGCCAGACCATTTGTGGGGAGGGGTTTTGCATTTGAATCTGCTGCCTTGTGAACTGGGGAACAGGGTGGGGAAAGATGCATGTTGGAAAGTACTTCTTATGTGCTTTCTTGTCATCTAGAGGTTTGCTGACAAGTGTTCCAGTTGGTTATGGGGCAGTACAGAGGAGTTGCACTTGGGTCTCCAGCTGTGAACACACCAGTGAGAGGCCTCTGAAAAAAGAGGAGGGGAAATTGAAAACAGAGCTAATGTAAGCAAAGTATGTCGGTGCAGGGTTGAAATTAATCACAGGCAGTCAGAATCTCAGACTCTGTAATGGTGTATCCTGTGAAACTGGACTAATTAACTCCTCCTTGAGAATGTCTTTGATGCCTTAAAGGAGATGGACTCTGTAATCTGTAGTCGTTTTACCAGTTCTTAAAACATTCAGAACCATGTAGAGTGTTTTTATTATGAGAGGCACATTTATGTGGATGTAGTTATGGCTGTTAGCAATTCCATTAATGTGATCTTCAGAATTTCATAAATCACTCTGAACTGGTTTGGCTGATGCTTAAATTTCACGACTTGTTCTGAAGAGATTGTCTCACTGTGCTGATTTACACAAATAGTCCCAGAATGGGTAAAGCCTCCATCTCATACGCAGCAAATTTAAGCTACCTGAGTTGTAATAAACCTTAAACAGAACTGAAAATAAATTATTAGTTTCCATTTTATTTGCTTTAATCTGTAGTTTAAAATGACTGTGCAACTGATATAAACCAAAACGGTGCAAAGTGTGGCCTTGGTTCTACAAGGTAAGTAGAGAAACGCGTATCGCTGAGCTGTTAGATGCTTGCAGAATGGAGGCTGGACCTTTGTGCTATCTCATGTGCTCTTGCTCCATTCTTACCTGGCTCTCTTGAGTGTGAAGGTGATATTCTGAATGTTTCACTTGCACTGATAACTAAGCCAGACAGGCTTGCAGAGAGTTGCTGGCTTGTGTTGAATCTTTAGCATAATCCTTAACCTTTCTTTACTCTCTTGGAGTTTTGACTGGCGTTATCTACTGTAGCATTTATTCCAGTCAGTGTGAAAATTTAAACCCTGGGAAGCGACATAGACTTAACTCCACAGAGCAACAACTCTGTTTTGTGGGTATGTTCTTGCATCAAATGAAGCCCACGTTCCTGTGAAGTAATAAAATTGAGTTTTACCATAAACCCTATTTTCTCTCAGTGGTTTGATTTCATTTTAATTTTAAAAGCAACTGATGTGATGGTTGAGGGAATGTTTGTAGCAGCTTGTTTTGGGATCTGTGTTATTAGGAGAAGCCTCTCCAGTTGATTAGTCCAATAACTCTGAACTGTACACTAATGATCCTCTCTGTTCCGTAGCACCGCAGTGATATAACTTACTGTGGTTTGAGCTGTGACAACATACAAGACTGGAGATGTCACATATTGCATAAATAAGGGTGGAAATCTTGCGTTAGACACTTTCTACTAAGGTGGCATTTAAAAAACACAGATCTTTCAACAGAACAGGTAGGACTTAAATTGCTTTTCTAGATCTAACCAAATTAATGCCCTTCTTGTATTGCCTGTTGATTTGGCTATGTAGCTATAGAGTTAAATCTTGTATTTGCTGAATTTTGCAAAGTATACAGCTTGTGCATTTGTGATAATGGAGGGAATGAAGGCTTAGCGAATGTCTCTTTAAGCTATTAATCCTGAGGCTGGCAACATCATTGTCTTTATTACATTCATAATTTAAAAATCCTATCATGGAGGAGGAAACATGGATGCTTGTTAAATATATTCTTCAGTGGAAAGTGCTAAGAAATCGGATCGTTAAAGTACAGAATCATAAGAGACACTAGAGCCTTGCCAGGAACAATAATTGCTATTTATATGTAATAGGCATTGGGAGGGAAAGTTTTTAAGAGATGAGTCTGGTTTGCTTGTGCCTGAACTTAATAGATTTTATGAGTAACCAACTAGAAGGATTTGGGGATTGAATTTCGTTTTCAGAGCATGTAATATTACCAACTATAGAGCTAAAAGCTGTTGCAAACTGAGTGAAATATCTTGAGAAATCAACTGGTTTGTTGTCTCTCAACACAAGTAAGCAGAACGTGTGTGAAGCAGCTCCTCCATGGAGTTCCGATGAATTCTTATTCCAATGAGTTTGATTTCAGCTTTGCTGGTAACTCATCTGCCCTAATGCGGCACTGTCTTGAGGTGCAGACCTTGCCTAATGCTTAGGTTACCTGGGGCTCTTTGTGGGCAGCTTTAGGAAGTGGCTGAAAGAAGAAGGGATCAAAAATCCATTGCGGAATCTGTTTGCACTGCCTTGTGATAAATGTGTCGTGGGAGGAAGGGCAGGGGAGAAACTGAGCTTTAAATAAGATGTGTTTAACTGGATAATGTGGGTCAGGTCATGTTTATGGTACATGAGCTTGATACAGGCAAGGAGCCATCTTGTTTATGGAAACCTTTGGGATGAGTGGGAGAGAAATGTGGGGAAGAGATGCCTTCTGCAGGGACGATTGCTCTGCTGTGCACATAGGGATGCTGTGTCTCCCTTCAAGCCGATGCATTTTAGATCAACCTAATGCAGGCAGCGACTGCAGCAAAGGAAGAAACTCCCTCCGCAGCATTTAGCTGAACATCACGTTTGTTTAGGACAGTCCTGGCTTGACAATTTATCCTCAACATCTCTGACAGCTCCAGCCTATTGAAAAGCAGACAAGCATGCTTCTGCTCCACTGCAAACACTGGGGCTGCCTGAAGGCTTTTACAGATAAGGTCCATTCCAGCTCACCTTTCAATTCCTGGCTTCTTTGGGGTTTCAGAGTCGGGGTTTTTTGTTGTTTTTTTTTTAAAGAAGTCTGAGGTACAGAGAAGTTTAAAAGTGTACCTTCAATAAGTGTATTTCCTTCTTACTCAGGAAACTTGTCTTTGGAGATCTGTGTTCAGTTTTGCATACTGAAATGCTTCTTTTTCTTATGCAATTAGTAGGAGAAGACAATCTTTAAATGCTGCTATTAATGGGCAGAGAAAAGACTTCAGGGCTTAGTTTTGTCGAGTTTTGGGTTTTGTCTTCTGGTGGATCACACTTCAGATGAATGTTTTTTTCCTTTAGAACATAAATGTAGCTAAAAGATGCTGAAAAACATTAGGCTGATGAAATGCAGTGCCTTAAATTTATGGCCATTTAGGATTCTTGTAGACACTTGGTTGTCCCCAGACAGGATGCCCAATATTTAGAAGGGAGTGGGATGTACTTTGAGAGGATCAGTGCTGTTTAGAAAACAGGGAGCACACAGATTCAGTTCCCAAAAATCACTATTTGGTCATTTTACCAGAGCATACATTAGAAACTGAGCA